TTTTTTTCATTCTCATTTTTACTGCATAATACTAGTAAAACTATCCAACCTTTGAGCAGTTACAGCTTTATCAAAAATACTACTATTTTAATTTTTGAGTAGCCAGTTTAATCCATTTTTTTATGCTGATTCTGAATATACCATTTTGTTGGATATTAAATTGATATTTGTGGTACTATTTTACTGTTGGAAAATGAACATAAGTTCCATGATAGTAGTAGTAGTAGTAGTAGTAGTAGTAGTGCTATTATATCTTCTTTTTTGTTTGATCATCATGCTTTTTGTTGGTGGTGTTCTTGTTGTTCCTTCATTGTCCTGCTGCTCCCCCTCGTCCTGCCGCCCTCCTAATCTTAGTACTAGTGATAGACTCCGCCAGCCCTCCTCTTTACTGCTTGTACTACTACTACTAGTACTACTAGCACTACCATCAGGTACACTGGTGTTGGTGTTTCCTTTCAATACTACTAGTACTAGTACTAGTACTAGTACTAGTACTGGTAGTAGTAAGACTTATAAAAATGGCAGAAAGAATGAGGGAAATAGTACAAACATTTCTTTCATGTGGAAGGCAGGTACAGTACTTAGTATTTGCCTTACTAAATTTGTGGTTTTCTTTTTCCAAAGTTTTTAGTGTTGTGCCAAACCAAACTGAGTACTTCACCAGGGGACAAGAGGAATTGAGGCGTTAGAGGAGCACCACCACCAGCATTACCAGTACTACTAGTATAGCTACTTTTCTGAAGTACTTTCGCTACTACAAGTAGTAAGAGGTACATCAGAGATCACCAACACCAGTGTTAAATTACTATTGTTTCAATGATAGCAAGAAAGAAGGCCAGCAATAGTCGTATCCTTCTCCTCGTTCACCAGCAGYCCAACAATGCTCCTATTTTCCAGATTCTTGTTGTTCTTGCACTTTGTCTTCCTGGTTGTGAAAAAACAAAATTGTCGCTTGACATTTGGGACAAAAGAAGAAGCACCAAATTTCCCGTTCTCCGGACAAGATCTGGCTTGAATCTCGCAACATCCAACCAACAGCGACGATGAGATGAAAGTTGTTCACCCATGGGTTCTGGGGTCTATTCTGCGTTTTTTCGCCGATTCCTGCAGGGCGGCCGCCATGTCRGAGTTCGGTGTCCCAGGCGGAGTGCCACTCGGTGCAGCATCGACTGCAGTGCCGTCTTTGGTCCCTCGTCCCGTGGTGGTTTGAGCGGCGGGCGTTCCGAGCGACGACGAAAATCCGCTGGCCGMGCCAGAGGAAATCATGTCGTCCATCGCAGCAAACGGATCCACTTCGGAGGCGGCAGAAGAACAAGCCCTCGATGTGGCCACCACAGATAGCAGCCCCAGCAGCCCCCGCCGAGAAAGSGGGTTTGACGCAGGGAGTCCCGAACGGTCACCGTTCAACCGCTGGCGTTGACACCGAAGTTCCGAATTTCTTCGCAAGACAACGGTGGGGTGGTTTAAYGATGGGTTTGTCGTCGCCCATGAGTCCGAAAAAGACGTCGCGCTCCTAAGGGCATCGAACACAAAGCACAGAAGGAACCATTGACGACTAAAAGGCACCATGTCCAGTGAACTATCTTATTAGCTGAGAACACCGGTAGGAAAGATAGAGAGGTTGATGTGTGAAAAAGATCCATTTTTTTTACTAAAGAATAATAATGCTTCCAGGTAAACCTGTGTCAGAACTAATGTACTAATGTACAAGTTTACGTGCAATTTCTACCTTCCAACATACAGTAATATGGTTGCATACTAGTTTGAGACTATTTCAGTAATTTTCATTACTACGAGTTTCGTAGCAATTGAAACCGGACTCCACCAGAGAGCAAAAAGTAATAATTGGTTGCGGCCGCCGCCTTGGTTTTTTTTTTTGAAGGATGGCGGCGGCCAAAAAAACTTACTACGGTGCAAAAACTACTAGGTTATTGCTAGTAGAATGACTTGTCACAATAATGACTGAATAAAATGTTCAAGTTAAAAATGAAATAATTTATTTTGGCAAAGGTACTAATTTATTTGCAAAAATTAATATACCGGGGTTTGTACAAATCTACACTAAAAAAAAATATCTTTTTGTTTCCTCGGTAAGTCCAGGGCTGTAAGAATTCTTCAAAGTTACTGGCTACTCGCACTAAAGATAGAGATAGTGAAGTGCAGTGCACCGTAGCCAATTTCAAGTTCTAAACTTTGATTTGAAGTATGAACTTCAAAATGTCCTGGTACTAGAAAGTCTACCAGGTTCTACTGAGCTAGTTTTTGGATGGCATTCATGATTGAAAGGCCAGGATTCACAATTGAATCACCTCGAACCATTTTATTTTGTTTTGAGGGGAATCAAAGAACATCTGCTTGCTACTACCATAAGGAGGAGAATGTAAAGGCACCGGAGAGCCCTGAGATCGCGAGTGTTATAGGTACCAAAGCACCCGTAATTATGACCTCAAAAACACGCAAAGTCAAGAATCATTTGTTTTTGGGGGTATTGTTCCGTACTTTAGGGGAAAGGCATACACAAAATCAATGAACTTAGCAATTACAACAGTACCAAGTACTTCAGTAAATTAACTTAATTACTTGAGTAATTGACTCTGTCTATCAGGGTTGTTAAAACTTGATTACTTGAGTAATTAACTTGGTGGGTAATTCAAATTCGTAATGAAAAATGTGGTACTACTGCTAGTAGTACTAGAAGTATAATTGACAATTGTTAATTGAATTCCTCTTAATTAACAGGGTTAATTAACTACTAGTACTAGTACTAGTAGTAGTACTCGCAGTGACAGCAGAGTTAATTGATTTAATTACTCAAGTTAATTACTTACAGCGACTCAGTTAGTTAACTTTATTTTTTTACTTTCTCCTTGCAATGGATAGATACGTACGGTATGAAATACTATGCATGATGTACGTATACAGAATTAAGGATACATACATAGTATATTGTCACACAAACCGATATAATGGTTTCTCCAGTTTCCTGTGTGCGCAAAAACAAATTCCCGCGCATGATTTTTGATGCTCCAATTGGAATCTCACAGCCCTTTCCCCTGGAACATGTTCTCACACCCTACGTTTCTCAGCACAAATTTCATGCCCTTTTCTGGGGTTTGTACCGTTTTCTATCATTGTTTTTTTTTCTCTCATTGTAACATCCAAAATAACATCATTCCAATATGTTTCCTATATTTTCTCCAAGAATCGAAGCCAATGTATTGGTTTCCCTTTTGGTGTTGCCAACATTCTTTTACCGACAAAGAAACTAGTATGCTGCCCTTATCTATTCTGTTCCAAGGTTTTTCTCTTCTTAGTATCGCACTTTCTATTTTCCTATGATGTTCAACGAATATCTTTTAGAAACAATTTTTTGCTGTATCCCGTTTGTATTTTATATTCCTATTGTTTGTTTGTAGTTTGTCACAAAATAATATTTTAATAACTTTCTAAATTATACTGGTAGGCCCAACAATTCTTCCGCATCTTTAAAGATACTTGCATCCCACACCTCCACGACATTGAACTTCAATTCCTATTCATGCAGTTTTCTTTTCTTTTTTTCTCTATCCTCTCTGTCTTCACCTATGGTTTCTCTGTACTCTGCCATTAAAGCTGTCTCAATCGTTCTTGTACTTTCTTCTGCTCTTCTTTTTGTTATCTCTTTCACAAGCTTTATGAACAACATCCGTTCCTCCAAGCTCCAGCCTTCCTTGCTTCCTACCCTACTGTCCGTGAATGGTTTTCGCGTCTTCTTTCCGTTTCCAGAATTGTTCCAAGACTTGTAGTCGTTGAACAAAAACAAGAGTGCAAAAGCCTTGTCCGTTGCGCTGAATATTTCACTTACTGTGTTCTTGTGTCTTTTTCTCTTAAAGTTGTTTTGTTTTGGTGATACTGCACCCAATACTATTTGTCTCACAAAGTTTTCCAACTCTGGTGTGTTCTTTCTCCTGTATTCTGGGTTCAACATGAATGACAATTTGTCTTTGCTTTCTGTTATGAAACATTTTCCTGTGAATGTAGGTGGAATGACACCATTTTTTTGTCGTCTAAACATATGAAGGAGGGAAGGAAATTGTTAGATTGATTTTGTCTTATCAGTGTTATGCATGCAGTGCCTCTCTTCTTACCCTTGTAGTTTTTTTGAGCCAGTGTCTGTGCATTATGTCTGCATGCAGTTACTGTCCCATTGATTGTCCCTGCCCAACAACTGGCAGACATTACTAGGCCCTCTGGTGGGTTTTCCCCACCATTACTTTCCTTTACCTGTTTTTTCACTATGTTTTCCACGACTTTATCCTTTACCGGAAACTTTGTGTGCTTGAACAAAACGTTCCTTACATAATTAGTCAGCAATTGTTTTAACAAAGTCTCTACATGGCCCAATCTTATGTCACTAGTGACCACCATTCTCTCCTCCTGTTCTGCATTATGGCGGACTAATTGTGTTGGAGACATATTTGGTTGTATGCGGTAGATGAAAATACAATCGATTCTCTGGAATACCTGTGTTGAGATAATGTTTCGATTGTAATAACCTTTTTCTTTTGTTAGTTCCTATCATGGAAATATCACATCCACTTGCAGGTCATGCACCCTATCCTTGGTTTACATAAGTTACTCACTTGAAAATGATAATGTTTATCACAGACTGAGCTCATTCACTATTTAATCATGATTTAGTCCTACTGTCCATCTTATCTGTGATAAATGGTTCCTTTCACTGGTAAAGAATTTTTGTGTCACATTAGAATTCAATACCAGTGCGTTATCCTTTATCTGTTTCAAATTCTCTGGTTTTCAAATGTCTAATTTCTAACACATATTTGAATTCTTTGTCGTAAACGAACTCAAAAACACTCAATAGAACTAACAAGATCGGCGTTCCTAGTTTTGTCTGTTTCAAGGTTGTCGTTTGTTCATTCAATTTCAAACCCTTTTATATCTGAATCCTTTGTCCAAAACGAACTCAAAAACGCTCAATAGACCAAATGAGAACGGCGTTCCCAGATATGACCATTTCATCTTTTTTGCCGATTCCTCTTCTTACTGTTTCAAATAATCACAAAGGTGGACAATGTTTAAAATATGTAGGAGTTACAAAATTGCTGCTTCTCGCTCACCAAGTCCCCACACTTGTCCTCTGTGCCTTGTTGCTTCTTTGTTATCATTTTTCAAATTTGTTTTCGTTTAACCCGACTGAATTTCTCTTCACCTATCATCGGATGCTGCATATTTCACAAGTATTATCAATCTGATCAATAAACAAACAAACACCCACCATGTCAGCCACAACTAATGCTCTGTCCTGTGTCGATGAGTACCAGAAGAGATCTGCTGACAACATTGTGACACAGTTGCTATGGAAGTGAAGACGCCTTTCATGTGTCTAAAAAGCTGTGTCATTATGGTGTCCCGAATTGTGATGACCTGGTGTCCTTCTTCCAAAGTATTGGCAGCTGGAAAATGCAGTGCTGGTGACATTCCCCTCACTCTCCACCCATTGTTGAGCATTTATCTAATGAATGATCTGGACTCTGCATCCTCTGACAGAAATGCTCAGTTTATTGTCGTCCCAACGTCCTTGTTGTTTAGCACACATCTTAAAAGGTACAAGTTGTCTGAAAGATGGTTGGTGTTTCAGGAAAAATTGGACAAAGAACAAGTTTCTATTAAGACAACGGCTGTGGACAGGTTGGACAAGTCCAAAGGGACTGGCAGCAGTCTTGTATCTCTGCAATTGATGTCCAAGTACATGAATGCTGTCCGCAACCTTTTTCAATGGTACTTTTGTGACATCAAACTTCCTCTATCCAATGATAAAAATGGAGAATTCTCTTACAACCCAACTGATGGAACGTACGCACAAAAATGTGACAATTATGTTGAAGAAATGGAGAAGTTCTTTGCCAATCTCTTGGGTGATACAGCCCTCCAGCACTTGGTGGACCCCAAACAGTTTCCAAAAATCCTGTATCAAAAGAGGTGGGATATGCTCCTCCAACGTGATGTCGGTCTGTTTTCTGCTCCTACAGATTCTGTTAAGCTCATTCCATCTGATGAATTGGACGGTCCATTCATAAACTCTAAAGTGGATTATCTGAGTCCAATGGGTGGTTGGCTTCAATCCTTGTGGCAAAACTTAAATTTGCCTAAAGGCATCAAGGCCTTCATGTCACTTTCTCTTGAGCACTGTCATGAATCTGTGTTCTCCCATGAGAAATTCTACATGTACTTTCTTCCCAAGTTAGTCAAATGCAGCTTTGTTGTCCCCAAGGACAGGAATGTTGTAACCAGAGTGGACAGGGTTTGTCAAGTGGATGTTGCTGGTGTAGTCCATGGAGTTCGTCACCACCACCACCTGACTTAGAGCTCAATGTTTTTGCGGGAACAAAAGACAATGGACCTGACAGCAATATTCTTTTGTACTCTCAACAGCTGTTTGGATACACAACTGGAATAAATACAATTACCATTACCATGGACGTAATGATTTTTCTATCCAGTTTTTGTGTCGGTGTTACATCGAGATCTTCTGATGCTGGTCTGAGAATCCAAACTGATGACCTGGGGATAATTGACAATGCTTCCTACCTTCGATCTCCCAAGTGTGGGATCGCCAACTTCACGTCACTCGGCGATGTGGGCCTTACAAACGACTTCTGTATCAAGGCCTTG